TGAGTACCAGTTGACTCAGAGTTGCACGTTGATGTGCAAATCAGACTGTTACTTTTTGCAGCAATGGCCATGGTGAAGGGTTAAACTGGTTGGCTCACTGTTCAGCACACAAACAACTTCCATTTGTCATTGCTCACATCTGCACCATACACATTTAAAGAACATGAAAAAATCCTGGGTTTTGTTTCTTAACAGTGCTGGGAATTGTAGCTCTGTGAAGGGTCAAATACCATTCCCAGAAATCTTTGGGGAATCCACAACTGTTAAGTAGTATAAATATGCTTTAAATGTATGGTGTGAATGTTTTAACCTTAACCAGTTGACACACAGCATTGTCAACTGTGTGCACAATGAAACAATCCAACACCACGGTGGCAATGAATCCTGCACATCAACATGCAATTGTAGTAACTTCCCCTGCCTTTGGAATATATTACATCAGGGTAAAGATGACTTGAGAATTTTAACTATGTATTGAAGCCATGTGAGTGCAAGGCACATTGTCAAAGAATTAAACATTTGATTAACGAGTCACTTATATTTTCCAGATAGAGGGAGTTTTCCTTTTTTTCTTTTTTATCTTCAGGGGTCTCGACAATTTTCCCACAATGATGTGTCAGTCTGTGATCTTTTCATAACTTCCACTCTAATAGTCCTGTCAAATGCATGTCTACTTCTGAAGTTTTTTAGGTTTCTTCTTAAAAAAAGTAGTGATAGTTGTGAATTGATTTTGGATAAAGTCTAATCTCCACGTAGTATTTTTCTTTACCTCAGAAATAGCAAAAGCTTAAACTTCAGATGAGGTTGATGGCCTGCGATTTCCTATTTTATCATTTCCAGCTTCGTGATGCAAGCTGGGATTCCCTCCTCCCTTTTTCGTCTCCCTTCTCCACTTCAGTCAGATCCATTCTGAAGTTCACAGACTGCCACGGAATAAATGTCATTCAATCAAGTGCAGAAGAGTGCAAGGAATCAAAATGAGCAAGATGTCTCAAGTATGAACACTGTTTCAATGTACATCTCTGAAGAATACAATTGCCATTTTGAAAAAAAGATGGAGGTGCCTTCTGGAATCTCATCAAACCAATTCTCAAGACCTTTCTGTTTCATAGGCCACATCAGGAAAATTTCTTAACTTGTCCATTTGGTGGATTTCTTTTCGCATTCTTAATCTGCAGGAAATATTGAAAGACATTTTCCTAAAATTAGGGAAGCATGTGTAACCTTAATAAAAAAAACAAGATGTCAAACCCTATCTTGTAACATTGCATTCATAATCCTAATTAAGCTTCACATGCACTGCAATGTGTGGATTTGCCTAAGATTAAATTCATTGTTGTTTACACATCTCACATAATTCTGTCTCTTTTACCCTAAGGGACAGCGTGGAGAATTTTAGAGGCATGAGTAAGCAAGCTAATTTTGAGAGAAATGAAGCAGATCCAGTTAATGAATGTCTTGTATAACCATAATATAAAAGAGAAAGGACTCCAAGTATCACTTAGAGATCACCCTTTCCTCTCAGTCAGACAAGCAGTTCAACTAAGTGTCTTTGCTTCAGACGCTCTTTGGGGATTTAAATCAATCTACCTCACCATTTCTTTCTTTTGCTAGATGCTCTAGCAGAGAGGAAGTTCTCCATTTTATTCCCCCCCCCCCTTTCTGGCCTCTGTTTAGATAATGGCTGTTGTTAAGTACATAGTAAAAATGCATTAAGAGTTTGAATTTACATCCCCGAAAAGAGTAACACTTTAGTTTTTATGTTTGATGCTTTCCTCTAGGATAAATATCAACAATCTATATTTAGGAAGACTCACTCCATATAGCAGTAATAGTTATGGTTTAGTAATAGGAACAAACACTGAGGTTACTGAAATTGGATTTATTTTCTTAAACGCAACACGGACTAGGGATGGGGGATCAGCCTGGTCTGTGCCATTCTTGCATGTATTCACTTATAAATTAGAACATCTGAAGGCTGGGAGGCTTCTAGCATTTTTGCTCCCACAACCATGCCACCAGAGCTAAGGGCTGAGAGTGACATTAGCTGCCCAGTGACAAAGCTCTGGACTATAAAAGACTAACATCTGGTTGCTTTAACCCTCAGGTTCAGTCCAGGAGCTTCAGCTGCAGAGTTGGAATTACTAAAGGGGAAAATTCATATATAACTTTGCTCTTCTCTTATAACTATTGCACTCCAGAATAAAGAAGTATGGTAAGTATGTTCGGTCCAATTTCTACATCTATCTATCATCTATCTATCTATCTATCTATCTACCTATCATCTATCATCTATCTATATCATATATCTATATCTATCTATCTATCATCTATCTATCATCTATCTATCATCTACAAACATTTGTTATTTAGAGATATATTTTAATACACATTTTCTGGACATATTTTCTTTTTGGATTTGCATTTCTAAATGTACTTTATATTAGTAGCTTAACAGGTGTGGATCAGGTCAGTTTGTAAGAGAGCTCACAAAGACCGAGTCCTTCCAGCTTCCCATGCACAGCTCTTAAAAGGCTTTCTGGAAGAGTTCATCACAAAACCTTTCAAACGTCAATGTAAATATAGAATTCAGCAATAATTATGGAAACATCCATATTCTGGTACTGCACCTTTCACTCAACAATACTGTGCCATTGTGTTTCCCATTTTCTCCCATGATTTGCTGTTTAAAGTAGTAGTAATAATAATTAAAGATTTGGTCTGCATATCATGTACATGTGTAAAATGGGTCTCTCCAGTTTGCTAGTTTGACCCTAGGGTTCCCAGTGTAGTGCCTACAGGCACCATAGACCCCCAAAACACCCCTTTTTGTACCCATCTCCATTTTTTAAAAATGATCTGGGGTTTATCGGGAGACAGTTGCCTGTTTTGGGAAGGGAGCTGCCTGCTGTTTTTGTCTGTGTTTTATTTGTTTCTTGTGGAGAGCGTTCTGAGTATGGTCAGTTTTGTGGTGACCACAACAGTTTTTTTAGCTTTCCAAATGCACCCTTAGGCCAACAAAAGTTGGGTGCCCTTGGTTTAATCACTACTCCACACTGTCTCTGACATTTCCTCACTTGCCAATAAAACTATTTCATAGAAACGTCAGGCAATCTTTCAGCTGTGGAAAGAATCATTGCAATTCAGGGGAGCCAAGCTAGCGCTCACACCACATACTTTAAGTGATCTCGTTTCCGTAGATCTGCTCAAGAATAACTGCTTTGAGAATGCTAGCTTCTAAAGTGAGCCTCATCCAGCAGCCTCAGAATTAGTTCAAAGTGAAAAACTCTGCTTCTAAATTGCATTCTCTCTCTCTCTCTCTTTACCCAACTTACATCTATAGTCACAGACCCCACAAGACTTAACAATTTCCAGGGCGTTTCTTTATTCTCAGAAGTGTTTTTGGGAACTGAGAAAAGGTCAGCCTTTTTACTGTGAGGCAGTGGAAAGTGTAAAAAAAAACCAAAAAAACTTTCCCCTTCAACAATGTGAGAGGTTAGCTGTCCAAAGCTGTTCTTTTGGTTAGTGTCGTTTAAAAAGCAGGCTGAAGGAAGCCTTTGGCATTAATTTAACGCTCTGACTGTAAGAAACCTGTGAGATTATATTGAGCAGTCTAAATAAGAGGGTTCCATCAATCAGTCAGATATCAAGAGAGAAAGGTCTGTATGTTTGTGTGACAGTTGTTCAGGTTGTTGTTTTTCATTTCAAGTTATGGCTGATGTTAACAGTTAATGATAATGAATAAAGGCTGGATCCTAAGATATTTCACTTCAGATTCAACTTCCATTACCAATTCGGCTTAGAGAAATGCAATGTGACTGCTGAACCGCATATGCAAAAAAATTTAAAAAGGATTTTTGCCTCACACAAAAATAATGTTGATCTATCTATCGAATTGAAATATAGAAGCTTTTAGGCTATGCAAACCTCTTTGTCAGAATCATATATCAAATTTAGTTGTTGATTTTAGATTTATAGCACACCCTGTTCTAAGATCTCAGGGTAGTTAAATGCAATTTCACTTGCCACAGATAAATCTCTGTCTCAAAGGGCTCACATAAGCAGGACTTGGAAGGAACAAAAGAGGGCAACAAAGAGAGAGAATTTAAATAGTTTACTTTAAAGGATAGCCACAGCCACTCTTATTTCCCTGTCTATTACCTGAATATATATATTATATAATGATATACTAAGCTATGTGCACAATATTTCTGGGACATATCTCGTAAGATTATTTTTTCCCCTGACAGTCTTATAAACAAAATATTTATTCTCACACATCCAAAAATGACTTTTCCCCCCTTAGTGTTCAGCTTGATACAGCACAGGAGGCTTAGATGTGCACCAATCTGGCTGCTAATACTATAACCTCACCCAAAAAAGATTGATGCTAAAAGACTTTTGAATCAAAGTAAGACATATTTATAGGGTATAATAATATTTATATAGCTTGAAGTCCTGGGTTTATGGGGGGAAATATCACTTCCAGAGCTGAAAAAGTGACCTCCAGTGAGCAATAATGCCCATGGAGTCAGGCAGTATATCGCCTTGTTGGTGATTCCTGCAGTTTTCTCGCGGGTATTTTATCCCACTAATATAAAAATGGCACATCTGATACCTTGCACTGCAAACACGCAAGATGAGTTAGGGTGATGACAATGCTGGTACCAAATTGGAGAGTGCTTTATAGTACAATTTCAGCTCACCTGCTTGGTTTATTTATTTACTCTATGAGCAGAGAAAGCCTATACTGCAATTATGCTGGGACCAGAGATACGCTAAAGCTTAATCAGCAGAACAGCCACAGTATCCACTGCATGCTCAGCTCAGGAAGGGAGAAGGAAAACTGGAGGAACGAAAAATGCTGCAAAGATGTTAGGCGTGTCACCCAACACCCTGTTTCCTACCACCACAACTGAACTTGTGAGCTCTTAAGTAGGCACAACATGAAACAGCCAGAGATTATCTCATGCCACCCATCCTATCATTTCACCATTAAGGTTTATATATTGGTGATGATGTGCTATGACTGGGAGCTAAATTTTCTTATACCTTATGCTGAGTCATGGCACCAACAGTTGTGTAGTCAATTGCATGACGTCAAAGAGAGGAAACCTTCCTACATGAAGTCTGGGGTTGTGAAAGTTGTTCCTCTGATCGGAATGACACATCAGCTGGAGAGGTAAGAAGGATCCAGGGTTGTACCCTATATTATCTATTCATTAGTGCAAGGTGCCTTGCACTAGTGGTTAGGTGAGTTCTAAGGTCGCACAAGGGAATCCAACATAGCAGCTGTACTAGCAGAAACTCGCTGTGAAACAGATTGCAACAGATCACGCAATGTTGCCTTGACAGACACATTCTGAATTCTGGGAGAGCAGTGAAATAATGGGAACAGGACACCAGAAAAATCAGGCCAGTTCCTGGAAACCACTTATGCCTGGTTCCTGGTTGTGGGTTTCACAGACATGTGGTTGGCCACAGTGAGAAAAGGATGCTGTGAAAACAGGATGCTGGAATAAATTGTCTATTGGCCTGATCCAGACGGCTCTAATGTTCTTAGAGCTCAAGCTCTGAGGTTAAAAGACTGTGAAAGAAAGAGGAAAGAGGAAAGCCTATAAAGTGAAAATCCATTTCATGATGTGCCAAAGATGAGGAATCTTCTCATTGCCCAATGTTGCTGATCTCCTGGAATGATTAAAGAAGGAGAAGCTAACTTGGTGTTCTCCAGATATTTTGGACTCCAGTTCTCATCATCCCTAATAATTGGCCTTCTTCTTCTTCTTTGGCGATCACTCATAGCCAAGTCTTCCATGAACACGGTCTTAACAGTGAGCCCGTAAGTGACTGTGGAAGCCAATTCTGTGAACACTTTTAAACATTGGAAGTGACCATATGTTATGACACACCACTCCTTTCCTGGGTAATCATCCCACAAAAAAATAAATGGTTGCTTCCATAGACCTCTGAAGGTAGACATATTTTCCCCCATACAATGTCCCTGGTAGCCTTAATCCACATGTCTACATCCTAATAAGTCACAGATGGGGCTTCACATTGTGGTATGAACCAAAATCCACCCCCCATCCCTAGATACACTGCTAGGTTTTGCAATCCTGGACAAGCCACACAACTTGGCAACATGACCAGAGGGAAAAGTACCAATGGCGCTACTTGCGCAGGGCAGTAGTTATCTCCTGGCCTTTAAATCACCTATAAAGCAGGTAGGTAGTGATGTATGGAAGTGAGAGCTGGACCATAAAGAAGGCTGATCGCCGAAGAATTGATGCTTTTGAATTATGGTGCTAGAGGAGACTCTTGAGAGTCCCATGGACTGCAAGAAGATCAAACCTATCCATTCTTAAGGAAATCAGCCCTGAGTGCTCACTGGAAGGACAGATCCTGAAGCTGCGGCTCCAATACTTTGGCCACCTCATGAGAAGAGATGACTCCCTGGAAAAGACCCTGATGTTGGGAAAGGTGGAGGGCACAAGGAGAAGGGGACGACAGAGGACGAGATGGTTGGATAGTGTTCTCGAAGCTACCAGCATGAGTTTGACCAAACTGCGGGAGGCAGTGGAAGACAGAAGTGCCTGGCGTGCTCTGGTCCATGGGGTCACAAAGAGTCAGACACGACTAAACGACTAAACAACAACAAAACAGGTAGGAGAACAGCTTGTCTCATTCAGACCTGTATTTGTGCCCCTGCTATGAGAATAGTTGAGAGGGAAAGTGGCATCTGGCTTTGCTGATTTCCAAGGCTTAATCTACAAGTTTGAGTAACAGTCTGTTTTAGTTACAAATATAGGTATGAGTCATAAGCTAATTTTGTGCACAGTGTGTGCTCTGTTCAGCTGAGATGAATGAGAATAATGCCTTTAATTTAAAACAAAGTTATCTCTAAAGACTGAAAATAAACAAGCATGGACGATAAATATTGTTAATAGAGCTGCATTCCCCCACACACACTTGGAAGTGATAATTAAGGTTGAAACCTGAACCCATTTACATGAATTCACCATTGATTTTAGCAGGAGTCAATAGACAGTAGGAGTACTGATGAATTCAGCCCCACTCAAAATTTTTGTGTATGTATTCTGGTTGAAACAGAATTGGTATATTATATTTTAATGAATTTCCATTTATAACAAATTGCTACAACACAACATGTAGAGCAGAAGCATATATTAGCAGAACACCAATTAAAATATCCCACTCTAATTAAGACAACACTGAATGTTCTCCTTTTTCAGTGTTTGGGTCAGGAAAACTGCTTTTAGCAGGAGGAATGCTTACTAAAAACAACTCTTAATAAAGATAATGTTCACATTTTTCAACCCAGTGTCATTTGTTTCTTCTTATCTGCTATGCTGCTGTTTCTGTGCGACTATTTCCTGGATAGGACTTTTTTTTAAAAAAAAAAATCTTTCCTAGAGAGATCCCAGTCAATTTGGGATCACTCAGTAAATATGGTCACAACTCAAGATTACCTATTGAGTCCGTTTTGACAATAGCCTTGTGCAAGTGTTACTCACATAGAGCATTCTTTCCCATAGACAGAGAAGCAAGGCCACACCGCTGGCCCCAGCCATGGTGAAGCCAAGCTAATTCTCCCTGCCACATATTAAGCATGGTGTTTGAAGAGAAAACCCCACATGTGAGCAGCTGTTCATGCATAAGGGCTCCTAGTGGTCAGGATGCCTTGGCAATCAGGCATCCTGACCATGCGGAGCCCCTCCGCCTGAGTAACTGTGATTGGAGAAACTTCACAGCATTGGAGACTACTAGGGAGGGCAGCAGACTGATTCCTCTACTCAAAATACATGAGAGCTCTATATGCAACTTCCATGTGAAGAAGATGGATGAGTTTTCGCCACTCAGGAGAAAGAAAACTCAGGATTTAAAAGGACTGGAGGGAAATGGCCTTTCCCAGATTACTTGAGTGTGGCAGCAATACTGTGGAACTCTGTCTATTGACATCACACAGGCACCTTCACTATACTCTTTTGGTGTCTCCTAAAATGTATCTTAGACATGTATAACGTCACCACGTGTTTTAATCTAGCTTTTAGCTTATTGTTGATTTCAATTGCATTTTAAGGTTTTTAAATAGTTGTTTTTAAATATATTCACTGATAATTTCATTATTCTTTTTGTAAACCACTCTAAGGTACGTTTTTAACAGTCAAACAATCAAATTCTGTGAACTTAATTAATTCACCACTTGGCTCAGAAGGGCCATTTCAGCAACTGTTTTCATCTTAAATTCTAATGGCATGATGTTTTACAAATGGCTGCTTAACCATGGCAGCAGCAGTGGCTTCCTGTCATTTCCCTTAAAGCTGTCAGTTCTGCTGGTGGTTTTGGTGGAGGCAGAAAGAGTAGAGCTCTGGCCTCTGGTACCAAGTTCCCCCTCCAGCTCCCTGGATTGGGTCAATTCTGCCCTGCCCTTGAGGCTTCCCATTCCCTGCCCCTGCCGAATACCTCAGAAAAATTCTCAGCCACTGCAGGCAGTGCCTCCCCATCTCTAGCAGTCAGGAACATGAATGTGTAGCTAAATGCTATCCCATACTGTGGAAATTAGACATAACCTAACTATGTGGAAGCTAAATAACTGGTACAACAGCATCCTCAGTCACCACCAGTCCATTCAGCTCAGTATTGTCCACACTAACTAGTAGTATTGTCAACATGAACTCTCCAGGGTTTCAAACAGAGAATACAACCAGCTGTACTTGGAGATGGCAGGTATGGAATCTGGGATCTTCCTGACAAACAGATGCTGTTCCACCGTATTGTAATTTACCAGTATTGAATTCCTCAAGCATCTCTAATATGTAGTTTAATAGGCTTAAGAAAATCTTGCTTGCCTCTGTTTTGATCTGGCTTTTAACACTCTTTTTTGTTTTTGTTGTTTTAATGTTATTTGTTTTATTTGGCTGTTTTAATTATGTTGATTGTTTGTGCTCTGAGAATTCTTCAGAGTTGAAGAGTGGAGCTGAAATATTTGTACAAATACATCCATAAATAAAACACCCAATGGGTCGACAAAACTGCAATTCAGTCCAATTACAAGCCCTGCTTCAAGTACAGAAAACAAATAATACCCCATAAGGAGACCAAAATGTTCCTAAGAAGTGAAAAAAGAGAGAACCAGGAGGCTAATCCAGTTATTGCAAGGGAAAGGTTTGGTGTTTGATAAGTTAGGTTGTTCGGAAATCAAAATCCAAAGAGTTAGAGGCAAACATTACATTCATCCATGAACATTCAACTATTCAGTGTATGTAGCAACAAGGTAGCTGAACAGAATATGAATTTTAACCTCTGACTTTCAGAGGTCAAGGAAAGCTTTTAAGAATTAGCTCTAGGGAAATAGATAAGTGAGATAAGATTTTTGAACGTCAGAGGCCTCTTTCATTTAGCAGATGAAGGACACGTATGCATTGTCTGAAAAATAGAACATTACTAATAGAAAACAAGGTGCAAGCTTGAAGCTCAAATGATTATCCACTTGAAAATGTTGAAGAGGATCCTCTGAAACTGTCTCCTGCTTCCATGTGGTTTCACTTGAAGCCATTAAGTCATTGAGTTAATAAATATCTGTTGCTGAGGATCAGGAGTGGGAAAGTGCTATTGTACTCTCCTGTCCTGTCCTTCTTGTGGACTTTCCATAAGCATTAGACCAACCACTGTAGGGACCAAATGCTGGGCTTGATAGACCTTTGGTCTGCTCCAGCAAGCCTCTTGTGTTCTTATTGACAACAGAATATCAGCCCAGAGAGATATTCTAGGCACAGCCTAAGGATTGAACCAGCCTAAAGGGGGTGTTAATCAAACACCAGGCACGTACTCAAAATCACAAACAAAACCCTGCATTTCAGAAGTTATTTACTTCTGCGTTTTCAGAAATACAAATTTTAAATCCTCCTAGATGTGCAGAGCAAGTTTTTTGAGGTTTTCTGAATTATGGTTTGAATGGGGTTTTTTAAAAAATAAAATCCCATAGGATTTAATCTGCATTTCTTTCACAAAGCGAATCAGCCTCCAGCAATCGTGATTTTTGATGTTGCTGTTCTAGTGCTAGTCCTGCAGTTGGCTGATATGCCAGGCAACAACAAAGAAAGGAGCTTTGCTGCCTTAAAGCAAGCTTTCCCAACCTGGTGCCCTCAAAATGTTTTGGAC